CAAAGGAATATTGTGTATTGTTAATATATTTGGGTATGTTTGCAAAGCATGTGAAAAAATTGTATATTTGAGATGGGGATAGCTACTTAAGAGATTAATTGCAAGGAACATTGTCATGGAAATTGAATATAACAACTATTCATAGGCAGAAAAGAGTTGCAAAGCTCAGTGGCATTTAAGGAGATTGACAGCAAGTTCTCTGTTAAAGGAAAACCTACAACTGCACAAGAAGTGCACACTGATATGACAACAGCATCCCTTGATAGCAACAGATTCAATCAGGAACATTCCTCTTACAGAAGTAATTACATTTAGCAAAGAGATACTCTAAAGATGAAAAGTTTTAATAATGTGGATCAACAAAAAAGACTGATGAAAATTATTCTCTCCAGGTTCTCCTTCCATCTGCTGCAAACTCTAGAGGAAAAAAAAAATCAGGCGGTCTTAGCATCTGTGTTAACAAACTGAGGTGCTGGTGTCTTCTCCCAGTGATAGGATGTGTGGGACCAGTTCGAAGTTGTGCCAGGGAGTTTTAAACTAGACATCAGGATGAATTTCTGTACTTGAGAGGATGGTAAAACATTGAACAGGTTTCTTAGAGAGGTGGTCAATGCCCCAGAGCTGTAAGTGTTTAAGAGGCATTTGGTCAATGTACTTAATAGTATGCTTAAATTTTTGGTCAGCCCTGAAATGGTCAGGCAGTTGGGACTAGATGATCACTGTAGGTTCCCTTCCAACTGAAATAGTCTGTTCCATTCTATTCTATTCTATTCCATTGCCTCCAAATCTTACATGAATCACTACAAAAATAGAAAGCTAAATCCAGAAACATATATTAGAAGCAAAAATCTATGCTATTATATGATTCTTCCTAAGCCTTTGTATATCAGCTTTGGTACTGAGAGTACATTTGGTATATCTGAGTCTGCCTGAAGCCATTACTTACTATTGCATAAGAAATACGTAACAGTAATTGTTGCCCATCACTGACAAACAGGATGTCTGAGTTTCAGAAATAAGCCAGCAAGTGACTAGGCCTATGATTAAAAATTTACACACCATTTGGTAAAATATATACTGTGGAAGAAAAGGCTTTCCAATTATATAGGATTATTTAGGACAAACTGGCACTGCTTAATGAGACAAATCATGAAGATGTTTTATTTGGTGGTATCTTTTGGAGATATTTAATTCAGTTTTAACTTCAGTGATTTTGGATGAACTTTTACAATGACAGAAAATAACACAGCCTATTATACAATGGGAATAGCACAAATAATTAACAGGCAACCAAGCATTTCGGATCACCACTAAGTCTGCCAAGGGAAGGAAGGAAGATACAGTAATAACTCATGCAATGTTACTCAGTTATAAAAACCTGTTTGTTACTCTTTCATTTTAAAGGCTAAGCTTTGCATTAGTATTCAGTATGGGGAGCTATGCGTTAAATAATTCAGCTGTTCTTTAAAATAATATTTATCTTAGAAGAACAGAGTTCAGCAGCTGCCCTTCGTCTTTCCCTCTAAAAATCCCAACTCCACACAACTGGACTTTATTCCTCATCCAAAATAAGAGTATGGAGGAGCACCAAACAGAAATCACACAGAGCCAATGCAAAAATGTAACAGAGCTCAGGAGGCAAACACAAACCAGAAGATGTTAAATTGTGATACAAGCTTACCACAGATGCTCAAAAGCTGTCTTTAGGCCTTCCTAACTGATGGCCAGGGAGTCTTCACTTAGCTGGCTAAAGTAAGAAAAATAATTCCTACATCCTTTCCCGAAGCAAAGGAAAAGTAATAGTTTTAGTCAGCAAGAAAACTGGCTGTTAGGAGATTACTAGCATAAAAATTAGACACTCTGAGATATCTAGCAAAGGTACGATTTACAAGGTAGACATGAAAAGCAATTTCACTGATGAGTGGGCAGAGTCCAGACGGCCAATTCTGCTATCAGGAGAGGCCATTTCTGAGATTTTCATTAAAAACATACGGGCTGGTAACCTGCAAGTGCTCTAAAACAAATGTAAGAAGTTTGCTCTTTTGAACATTTCAAAAAGAGGACTGAAAGCTTCCAATCTTTACACAAGCATTCAGAATCTGTAAATAAGACATGTGGCTTTCACCTTTAAACTGACTCATTGTCTGGGGCATGATCCTAGGGTGAGATACCTGTCCCTGAAGTTTCCTGCTGCTGTTTTACTCCTACTTAGCACTTACCTTTGGGCCCTGCTCTGTCAACCAGTTACAGGTAAAGGAACCATAAAGTTAATCAGACAGAACAGAGCTGATTTAGGCATATGAGAGTTATAGTGATAGGATCTTAAATGGATAGACAATGATATAGGGAAAAGATGTGTCAGGGAGAAGCAACAGAGAAGGGAAATCAAAGGGAATGAGGAAATGGGCTGCTGGATAAAGAGAATGCATGAAGAGAAAAAGAGCAAAGGAAAAAGTACAAAGGGAAGAAGAGAAGCAATAATAAGACATTTGTCTCTTGTGATGGAGTTGTCAAGAGTATGATATGTTAATGCAGGAATTGCTTAAAAGCCACACATCACTTCAAGCTACCTACAAAGCATTCTTAAATCATAAACAAGGCAAAAACATCCATCACTTCCATTAAACATGCTCTTCTCATGATCTGTGAAAGCTTTCAGACTGAGAAGGGAGGAAATGGGAAGGAGATGGGATGCCTCAGCCACAGCCTTTCAAATGTCACTGTGAAATGAAAGCCTTTGCATACCCCGAGCAATAACCAATATAAGTAACTCAAGTGATGGATTAATTAGGAATAGTAATGCTCAGTTAGTCTGATCTTGCAAAAGAAACTAACCTGCACAGGCAGGAAACAATTGCCTTACTCTTTCAACTCTTTCAACTTAATGTTGTTTCTACTGTCATCAGTCACAGTGCAAAATAATTTCTGCTTCGGTAGAAGAACCTTGCTACTCACATAATAAGAGTTTAGATAGGAAGACTAAGAGAAGAAAACCCTCTTATATCTAACTGAAAACCCTTGATTCAGTAGTAAAACTTTTTCACAAATCCCTTTTCATTAAAGCATACCAATTTCTCAAAACTGGAATAATACAGAGGCACTTGATGCCAAATCTCTTCAAACCAAAGAGAAAAGTGAGAAAACCGAGAGCTCCTGGAGGCTAAAAGCAAATTCACAGATAATTTTGGATATTTGGAGTTTTATTGCAAATCAGAATTAAACCAAACTTCAAAACAAAATATTCCTTCTCCATTCATACTGACCCCCAGTATCAGTGTTGCCTGTAGCTAGTGGGGAATATTCATATACTCAGGTCTGGATGCCTTTGTCTAAGACCAGATAACAAGAGGAACACCTCTGAGTAAACCAGGGCAGAGGGGAAGGGAAACACAGAAAACACGTTCAAACAGTGTGAACTAATAAACTCAACATTCCTTGTATTAAAACGTTTACTTCTGTATTATGCTTCACCTATCAAAAATATGGTAAGTGTGGGTAATTTTTCCCAAAGAATTTTCTGTCTATACATGTTGACATTCTGTTTACCCTCCTCTGCTGCCACTTCATTCTTCTTTGTGAATTTGCTTCAATTATTTTCTACATTTGTGTACTCCCCAAAACACACACTGGTATTCAGGATCTCCCAAAAGATGTTCTTGAATTTCCCTGATCTTCTAAAACTCAATTTCTGTCTATCCTTTCTTTCTGCAAAATCAATTATGTCAATAACTATGGTTCTTAATTTTCTTCTGGATATGCCGTGGTCTCTTCACTTGAGACAAAGGTTTTATAAAGGTCTCTAACTCTCACAATCAGGGTTCTATACCCCAATCAACAACAGAGGGTTGCTGTTTTCTTTCTGAAAAGACCTAATACATAATGCATTCAACCACAATACAAAAATTATTTCAGTTAGTATTCTCAAGGGGTCATTTATCCATTGTTTTACTGTTGCTCTTGTATTGTTGCCTATTAATTTATTCCCTCTCTATCACATAACAAAAAAAAGGCATCTATCAGCTTCATCCTTTTCAGTTAATCAGCTTTAATATTTCTTTCCCAAGTAACAGGTCTACAATAATATTTTTTACTCTAAATATATTACTTACACTTTCTCAACTATGAAAGTCATTACACTGAGAAAACTGCATATTGCTTCATCCAGGAAAATCAGTTTAATAACAGATGCAACAAACTTACATTCCATAAACTCAGGAACAATATAAAAATTTGAATGTTAAATTAAACAAATACATTAAAGATTAATAACCTTTATAAGTATTTATAAAAGAAAATTGTTTTAGTTGGGTTATAAATTTTTTAGTGTGCTAAATCAGAAAACACAAGTTCTAGAAATACAAAACATATCAGATATTGATTTCCTGTAACAGTGACTAAGAGATACATTCTTCAGTAAGTTCATTTCAACTAGAAAAGGTAATTTCAAATTTAGCTGTAGTAACTCTGCTTAGCTTAACCTCTAATTTTCAGAGAAGTGTTTTTGAGAACCCTTGATAATTGCTTTAGATTCTAACAGTATTCTAAGATATCATCAGGACTTCTTATGAAAGTGTGAACTTTTTTTACCCTAGAAGTTTTGCTTTAAATTGAAAATAGCTACGTATAATAAAAAAGGTATGTGGCCTGTGGCCTAATTGCTTAGTTAGCTAATGCAGAACTTGAAACAGAGAGGTTTATCTTATTTTCAGATGGGAGTGTGATGGTCTCTTGCTGAGATCTGCAGTACAGGAAGTAGACCAGGAAAAATCTGTTTCAACTGGAGAAGTATACACATGTACTTTCCACAAGTAACTGGAAGGGTAGAAATATCTGTCAAATTTAAAGTAATTGAAAATAATTCCTTTCTTAATTCAGTCAACACACTGGAGGGAAGAGATGCCATCCAGAAGGATCCCAACAGGCTTGAGATGGGCTGGTGCAAACAGCCAAGTTCAACAAGCACAAGTGCAAGGTCCTGCACCTGGTCAGGGCAATCCCAAGCACAAACACAGACTGGGTGGAGAATGGATCAAGACTTTCTCCCTGGGGAGAAAGATTTCGAGGTGTTTGTGTACAAAAAGCTCAACATAAGCTGTCAGGGTGCACTTTTAGCTCAGAAAGCCAATATACCCTGGACTACATCACAAGAAGTGAGGACAGAGGGCCAGGGAGGTGATTCTGCCCCTCTGTTATCATGAGACCCCCACCTGACATGCTGTGTCCAGATCTGTGACTTCCAGCATAAGAAAGACACAGAGCTATTAGAACAAGCCCAGAGAAGAGCCACTGAGGTGATCACAGGGCTGGAGCATCTCTCCCATAAAATCAGGCTGATGGAGCTGGGATGTTTAACCTGGAGAAGGAGAAGGCTCCAGGGAGACCTTTTAGCAGCCTCACAATATCCAAGATGGGCCTACAAAAACATACGGAGAGAGACTTTGGACAAGGGCATGTACTGACAGGATGAGAGAGCATGGTTTTAAATTGAAGAATAGGTTTAGATCAGGTATTAGGAAGAAATTCTTTATTATGAGGGTGGTGAGGCACTGAAACAGGCTGTCAAGAGAAGCTGTGGGTTCTCATCCCTGGAAGTGTTCAAGGCCAGGCTGAACGGGGTAAAAGGTGTCCTTACCCCCTCTGGCAGGGGACTAGAATTAGATGATCTCTACATGAGAGTTTGAGTCCCTTCCAACTCAAACCATCCTGTGATTTACAAGCTAAGAAAAAAGTAAAGATGGATGATGCTACAGCAACAATCTATGCCAATATACAATACATACTGAAGTGTATCCACTGTATCTGATTCAACAGGAGAAGTAATAGGATGGATGATGCCATGCTAGCTGGAGAACCACTTGCATTATTTTTTTCTGGTTCTCTGCAGTACTTTTGGTAACTTCTCCCCAGGCCACTCATTTACCTTTACACTGGCAGACATGGCTCAAGAATTTACCATGCTTCAATTACACTAAAACAATATGAGTCACAAATTTTAATGAAATTTTAATATGTGAACATCCTTGAAAAAGCAAAATAATATGAGAGCTCAAATAAATGGTTGAAAGATTCATGGAATTCATACAGTCATAGAAAATTCTTCATTATTTAGCAGAATACATCCATAGTACATACTCTAAAAAACATGAGATGATTCCTGAAAACTACCACCATTGATTAGTAAGAAATCACACATACTACAAATAGATAGCAACTAGTCAGAAACAATGCTGCAAAGTAATCCTGAGCAAAGATTAGCTAGTGGATGGATGAGTGGGAAGGGAGAGTGAGAATTTCATCTGGGACTAAAGGGAGAAAAATCCATTCTTTATGCTACTTACTCCCGTAGGCTGAAATATCAGTCCATCCACTTCATGGCTAACTTCTCTGGCAAAGTTTCCTTCCAAGAGCTGTAGAACAAAAGAGAAAGAAATCCTTTTTCCATAGAGAAATGCACATCAAAGGGAGTAGCAGTGGATTATATGCTACTACTGCAATCATTTGCCAGTAAACAGCTTATTTAATGTTAGAGCTTGGGAAATGTCAAAATCAACAAAGTAGCAGTTTCTACAAAGAATACTCCAGGCTAGAAAATCTTTTGTCCAAAAAGAAATACTTAGAAATCAAGATGATTCTATGTAATAGAAAATGAAGAAATATCAATTCTAATACAGGACACTAGAGTCATTTGTGGGCAAATTAAAAAATCCATTTGCCATTTTAATACACAAGTAGCACTTACTTTAGATTGAACTTATTTCCTGAAAATACTTCAGGGCATCATTTGAAATTCACATTTTACAGACTTCCTAACTAGGGCATAAACCAGTAACACAGCTACATGACTGTAAAACAACTCTTTGAATTAATTTGTATCTTAAATATTCTATTTTATGCTTTCAAAGACTGTGAATTCCATATGGAGGTAAATATATCCATTAAGATGAATTTATCAGAGAAAAAACATCTAATTAAACAAATCACTGAAACCAGTCAACAGTTATGATAATTGATGATATACTTCCATATTAAATCATTACTTGCCTAAGGAAAAGCAAATAACCAAGGAGAATTACAACTGACAAGTAATAGCAAAAATTAGGAAAATTACCAAAATATCTCTTTTTTAATTTCAATTTATTTTTTACTGTTGAGATGGAGAATCTGTCCTGAAGTTGTAGATACTTTTAGTAGCATTTGAAAAAACTTTGGCACAAAAGTACCACATGGTGATAAAACATAGCAAATACAGACACAGTAAATCACAGTCAGTTTTAAAATCATTTTGTCCTGGTCTGCTAATTTTGCACAATTTCCTTTCTAGAGCTCAACTTAATGATCTGCTGACCAAATTATAACTAAATTATTTAAATGAAGTCAATAAAGTATGAAAGGAGCTGAGAACTAACATTTGTATCCTTCTAAGGCTGTACAACTAAAAGCAATGCAATTTTATGTTTCATGGCCAAATACTTCAAACAGTAATGATTCAACATATTTCACTTGAACCTATAAATGTTTGCACAGAATGACTGATCATTTTGCTATAAAAACTTAGCTTTTTCCCTTACCCATTCATTAGCCTATATTTGTGCCTATAGCTCCAACAACAAAGCAAGCTTTCACTATTCAAGTTTTAGAATTTAACAGGGAAAACCACACTCTGAGAGTGCTCTCAAGTGGAAAAATACTTCAAGAATATTTAATTCCAAATAAGGAACTATACAATGAAACACATTTTTTCAGAAGAAAAAGCCCATAATTGAAACTTGAAGCTGCACCTTGCTGTTACAACATGTTGCTATCTTGAAATTTACAGCTGAAATTCACAATTGTAAGGCATCTGCTAGGTATGACTACACAAAATAACAATAAAATAATCCCAAATTCTTTCATTAATCTGTTGTTAGTCTTTGTTTTTATTAGAGCAATGAGTGCATTGTAAAAAACATTTAAATGTCAAAAAATTTTTTAATATTGTGAGGTTTTTTTATTTCTACACACACCAGATCTTCTGTTGGTCACTTGCAAGTTACTTACTTAGCAGTTCCAAAACTGACTGGCCAGTCATCTGCAATAAGAGTATGCTCCAAACTTACAAAAATGCTCAAGACTGATTTCATTAAATTCAGGTACCAAAAAACCTCTCATTGGATAATGTTAGTATTAAGGAATAACAATATTTTTGAAACAAAAAAACCCAAACAAAAAACAACCAAACAAAAACAAAACAGAAACTACAAATTAGTTGAGACTACTTTTTATAAAATTTCTGACTAACTTATCAAAAAGCGTTGACCAAAGTGGCAAAGAGAAATCAATCACCTCTGTTTCTGCATCTGTTTTTGAAGTTCTCAGGGGAATTACAATTTGAGGAGACAGTGACTTTGGTGTTGGAGCTTACAGAACTAAATTATGTATTCCCAAAATAAAACTTAAGAATATAGAAACAATCTCTTAAGTTGGAGTATGTGGAAAAGCAGGAAATAATTACTGTGCTGTTTGGCTTGCAACTCTCTCCACTCTGGTGAACATGCAGTTTTAGGAAACTACATTAAAGTATTATTACAACTTGAAAAATTGAGAGGAAAATATGTATTAAAATTTTCCCTTTTCAGAAATACATTCTGATACTTTTCATTCACTACTTAGCCAGAATTATAAAATGTAAAGGAATCTGACCCATTAAGCTGCCACCCATTTTCAAAGTCAAACATGTTCTCAGTTTGGAGGTCCACAGTGTTTTCACTAAGACAGTTCCTCACAAGTGTCAATTAGATATCAAAGACAAAAGGATTTTAAATCCAGAGCAAGCCTCAACAGATAACTACGCTTCTTTGTAGGCCCAGTTATTCTGCTTTCATTCTCATTAGGACAATTACATGTATTTGAATGATAACACTTTCTCTAGAAAGGAATTTTGACTAGAAAGGATTAGCAACTGAGGGGAGGGAATGAAGGAAGGAATGTACGTTTTCTCTGACATTATTTCCATAAAAATTTTCTTGAGAATTAAACTATGCAAAGTGTGAACAGAATACACAGACATTAAATATTGCAGAAGGCTTGGAATGACATGGAAATGAGCATAAAAGGAATGTCTGACATACAAGCAATACAAGCAAGTATTTTTGACTCTAAAAAAGTTACATTTTTTTCAGTTTATGAACTTCAAATGCAAATACCATGGTTCATCTTTTAAAAAGCGTTATTCAACGTTCCACACGTTCAAATTTCCAATTAACTTGAACAGAATGGTCTTTTCTAATCGGCACCATGATAAATAGCACACCTGCTTGACTGGGATGACTGCCATGGATCAGATAAAGTGCAATGCATCTCAATGACATTTTATAAAAGATGGGTAAATGATGCATGTGAACAAGCTCTTCTGGCATCCAATTCCTTGTTGTCTCATGGAATCTATTTCCACCTGAGATCCCCTTTGTTCACTCCTTTCAGCTTCCTTCTTCCCCTTGAACACCACAATAAGCCATATACTCCTATTACAGTTTGTTATTAAAAACTTTTCCTTTCATATTTTTCAACTGAATTGCTACATCTAGTAACACTTCTCTAAGCAAAACAACGGTATAATTGCATGGATTGAGTGTAGCTGTATGATGAGTAACAGGATTTCTCCTTGTGCCTTAACCAGTGAGAAGCAGAGAAGCAGTATGTCACCAAAAGAGCACTAACAACTTGCTGAAGCTGATTTTGCTAAAACACTGAACCAGTCCGTAGTTCTTCTCTGGATAATTGAAAATTCACACTTTACAGGTATGCCTATACTTATACAAACAAAGGAATCACTATGCTCCTTCAGCACAAAGGGGAGAAAATTTAGATGCATACAGAGTAGGTTTTTGTTAGAGTTTTGGTATTTCTGACACATAATTCTATGAGTTTGCAGATATTACATTATTCATAAAATAAGTAAGTCCAGCAGGTACTCCTGTGCCTTTTCTCTCCCCTTACCAAAAAAAAAAAATTTAAAAAAATAAAAATAAAATAAAATCCCATGGAAACACAATGTGAATTATGAGGATTCCAAAACATAATGATGATTGCAAAGTCATACTGACTTTCTACAAAGTAATTTTACTAAGGTCCTTGCACACACATCGCAATTATTGATCTCTTGTGTCACAATATGCAAATACTGGTAACCATTTTGTCTGTATTTCTGATTCAAAACTGACACTGCTTGCTAGCCTGCTGAAACACTTCAGGGTACAGAAAAAAATCCCTTTGAATGTTATAATACAAGACAAATACAGATCCCTTATCTTTGCTTATCAATTCCAGAACTGCTATATGCTTCACTTCAAGTCAAAATAGAACAACTCTGCCTGCAGTCCCATGGGGTTTTCCAGATTCACCTTCAAGTTACTGATCATCTGGACCTGTTCACTCTACAGAGAGCTGTGACAGGGATCATACTTCACTCTAAAGTATTAGTTACAAATAAACTATTAATTGAATTACCAGTCAGCCAGAACAAAAAACACCTTCATACATGGCCCCACTGTCATTCCTAACTTCACAACTTCATTGTCTTAGGTTTCAGTCCAACTTCAAGGACCATCCCTTTCTCCAAGGATGACAACCCTCCCCATCAGCCTCGATATTCTCACATACTGACAACTGTCAAGTTTTATAAACATGAGCTCAAACATCTCTGTAGATAACCTATTACATAAACCTTCACAAATCCTGTTTCTGAATGACATCAGAAATCCCACAGAATAATTTTTATGCTAAGATCAGTAAAAATAATGCAAAAATAGTCTGGCTCAGATTCTTCCAAACTATCACATTTCCCAAAAATAAATCACTCTGCAGGCAATGATGGAGCCATCATCCACCACATCATCAAACCACTAACGTTCTAAACTTTAGCTTTCAAGCAGTATATTTTGAAAAGGAGGCCTCCTGGAAAAGAAGCATGCATTTGGCGGAGTACAGATGATATGCAGGTTGCTGTGCAATGCTTCAAAATATTATCAAATGCAGTTTAATGTCAAGTGAGGGAAGCTTAGAGGTCCTTTAAGCTACGGCTGTGGTCTCTGCTCCTCCCTGCTCACCAGAATCTTTCCAGTTTCCCCTGTCCTACAGCATCACATCTTTTTTCATTTGTTTTGTATCTAAAAGCAGAGAAGGTATCAAGAACGGAACAGCTGCTTTCAGTCTCAAAGCAAAAAAGCATCAAATAGCATGTGAGAAAAGTTTCATATATTATTTAGAAATAAAACACAGAATCTCAACTTTCCACAAATAGAAGTCAGCTAGTTGACATTTTAACAGAAAGAGAGCCCAAAACAAAGCACTGAGAGAAGTTTTTATTTTGGTTCACTGACTGAATGACTGCAAATACATGGTAAACCTTCCAAAACAATCTCTAGTGACT